TGTTTAACAATTTCACTTTAAAGACTTACTTAAATCATATAAATTACAAATAGGTATTACAAGCAATCAAAATATCATACATTTGGACTAAAAGGTTTATGAAGTTGACAGCTAAAACAATGATAATAAACAGTCAAATATTGTTAAATGTGCTATTTTCAGTTTGGTGTGTTACAGTGTTTTTTATATTCTTATATCCACTCCCCCTCACTTATAGAGTATAAAAAATACCTCCACCTCTCCAATGTGGTCTGACATTCATTATACCCATAAATCTCAGAAAAGCTGGGTCACATTTGTGTACTTTCCTAAAGTGTTTTGATACTTTGTGTTCTAACACCTTTTAAAATACGTCTGACATTTACTTCTAACCTCTTGGGGAGGGCTCTCTTTGTACGTCCAACAAACTGAAACCCACACCCACATTCCATGGAGTATACAAAATTATTGATATTTTATGTTAAAAAATTTCGTATTTCGTAATTCTTTCGTAACTCTGCAGCAGACCTTACTAATCCCCACTGGATCACATAAGGGGTCATCTCTCCCCGCCTCCTCCCTGAAAAAAGGTAAGCAGAAGAGGGGGCTTGTTTATTTTATTATTTTATATGTGCAGGGGTAGTATTCGGTTTATGTGTATAGGGTAGGGTAGTGTGTTTTTTCATGTGTATGGCAGAGGGAAGGGGGAGTGTATTAGGCTCCATTCACACCTGTAAGTTAAGGTGCAATTAGGGATTCCTGCACCAGGAACTTGCGTTTTCCTGCAGCAAGAATACTTAATCTGGTGTGTACATGTGGCAGCTGTCACCCATTCATGTTAATGATCAGGTGACAGAAGCTGCATGTAAACGCCTGCACACCGCATGTAATGGAATGTGATATGATTACATTTGGTTAGGAATCAATCACTCTCACTGGGCGCATCGATTGTGCATCCAGGGAGAGTGTTTTCTAACCGCAGGTATTCATATCACATACTATTACATGCAGTGTGCAGGCATTTACATGCAGCTGCTGTCACCTGATCACTAATTTGAATGGGTGACAGCGGCCGCTTGTAAACACCAGATTAGGCATTCCTGCTGCAGAAAAACGCAAGTTCCTGATGCAGGAATCCCTAATTGCACCTAAACTTACAAATATGAATAGGGCCTTATTGTGTGTATTGGTGTCTGTAGTACCATACGGATATAGTTAACTTTAATTTTGAAGTATGATATTGGCAAGTGGCCCCCGTGGGAAATATACATTTGTCCAGTGGCCCCTGACTGAATTGAGTTTGAGACCCCTGATGTAATGTTTTTGCTCTCCTATGTTCCATTTGTGAACAAGAAGGTTAATATTTTTCATAGTGAGACCCTATAATAGAGACATAGAAGAGTGATGGCAGAAATATTATCCTGTCATTTGACATGTTTTTAACGCTCAAATGTTTTTGATATGTATAATACGTAGTGACAAACAGAACCCCAATACATATCTCTTCTTTCCTCTCTTAGTATGTATAAGAAAAGGTTTGCCTAGCAATTAAATCTTGTGAAATGTTTTTTTACCACCATTCTACTTTTTTCCATGAAATTACACATCAGCCTGAGCTTCATAATCTAAAGTGAATGAAGTGGCCCATGAGGGTTAGCCTAATCCATGGGTGAAAATGGCAATAATAACTAGGTATTTGCACACTTCAGTAGCAAGGTCTGAACAAATGTGCTTCAGTAAAAATTCTCACATCCTCCTCCAAACAGCAACATATCAAAAGCAATCATCTATAAACAATTGGATATGACTGAGCCTAAGCAGAAAATACCTAGCGGTCTGTGACATGCCCATAAAAAGATTAGCGTAGCTTGGTAGGAACCTCAAAACCCTTGTCAGAACCCCATAATTGTAAATGACAATCATTATTGAACTAAAATGAAACATTTTGAAGACTGAAATTGATTTATGACCATAAGAACTGTGTATTCATAAATGATAAATTACCAGCCGACAAAAGAGAGAACATGACCGGTAGACATGTGCGATTCGTTTCGTTCCAAATCAAAATTCGTATGAATTTTCCAGAGTTCAGCCACATCCGAATTTCGGAATCCCAATGCATCCGAATGTGTCCAAATCCGAATTTCCGTTTCCAAATTTCAGATCCCGTCCGAATTTTGTTCAAAAACTAAACTGAATCGAATATGTGACTTTTCTAGCCACTGACATGTGTTTTCAGTTTAATGCATCCGAATGGGTCTGACACAAATTTTCGTTACGGCAACATGGGAGCCATATACAGTATATACAGTATATACATTCCATAAGACTATATATATACATTAATTTGTCTCCATCTTGTTTTCCTACACAAAGCCACTTTGTCTCTTTCTGTTAACAAGAACAACCTTGTCACCTTTTCAATTAGTTCAGTTAAATCGTTTTGCATTCCAGTTTTGATGGAAAACAAGTTGATTGTCCTTGAAAGTCTTGTTAGAGATAAAAGTTAATGTATGCGCAGTCAGGACAACTTAATTAACAGAAACATATTTAAAGCTATGAGTTCACCCAATAAAAGAGGAATTGTTATTCTGATACTTTTGGCATGTCAGTGTGATTCCTCAGTGTGCATGCACACTAAACGGGCTAAACATTCCTTTTTTTCATACAACAAACAACCTGTTGAAGACAACTTATAATACTAAAGCTGACGCTCCTAGACCCAAATGGCATTCGGGATCCGGATTTTGGAATTGCATTCAAATGCCATTTGGGTCTGGGAGCCACAGCTTTAGTAACATATGTATATGACTCCCAGACCTGGATGGCATTCGGAAGCTCCCAAATGCAAATCGGAAATTCAGATCCCGAATGCCATTAAGGTCTAGGAGAGTCAGCTTTAGTATTAATATATGTATATCGTTTTCTGTGGTAGTCGCAACGACTTTCCAGTTCAGCTATGTTGTCCTAGATTGTTCACTTCTACTGCCTTCTCCAAACTCCTCACCCAATAGTGAATAACCATGCAAGATTCTACAAGGTTTCTGTGAGTCTAATAGATACTTGTGAGGTTCGTTTTCTCCTCTTTCGAGATGATTCATAAATAACAACCAAAGAGAATGGGGCTTTTTAGGTGACTCCTAGACAATGCAGAGATGCAGCTATATATAATGACACGTAGCTCATTTCATAATAAATATTTAATAAATTAATATAGATTAATATCCTGGCTAGCAAACATCGAGATGATTCATACTTGATTTACACTTATGCAATTTCTATTTAAATAGAACGGAGATTCATGTCCATTCATTTTACAGCATTCTGCATTTCGCTGTACATTGCATATCAACACGTCATAATGCATGTCAGGGTGCATTACCATGCATTGACACGATCTGCTTTGCATAATGCCCCATAATAATGTGCATGGAGATGTACGTTGACCTGAGTTTTGATTCACTTCCATTGATTTGAATCTTATATATTCAACAGCAAACACTCTTGACTGTGAGCTTCCATAATCCTAAATATCCTAAGATTCTCAGTCGCAATACATAGAAAAAGAGATAGAAAAAGGTTCCTTTGGTCAGTCCTCTCACTCTGCAATCAAAAGTGGCCAGGTAGGCCTCCATATCGTCATGTGAAGTCAGTTTTTTGTCACACAAATGGCACTTTGTATAGCGCCGCTTGCTGCAAAGGGCTTTGTACTCCTGGTAAAAAGTTGCTGCAACACGTCCTTTAAGTTCTCCAGGTCCTATTGCTGCTCTCAAAGCCTCTTGACCAGCAATAGACTGTATTTACAACTTGTTTTATGTCCTCCATCCTGGATGTGACAACACCAGTACATTGAGCACAACATTAAGATGGGTTTAATTGTTGTCCATGCCTTAAAGTGTATTTCCAATTTTGCAGTCAATTGGGATAAGACTTTACATTTTTTGTTACATGTTCCCTTTGACATAGTCCCAGTCCCACAGCCTGAAGAAAAAAGATCTTAAAGTGTATGGTCAGCTTTACAATCAACTACATTCCACAGCTGCCCTCTTTCCTGCCTCTGTCCCCCAACCATCAGCACACTATACTTTGCTTTGACAATCAGCTCCACTCCACATGTGTTCCCTCTGCTGCTCTGACAATCGCATCCTCTTCACGAGGGTCCTCTTTGTTGTCTTTTCTCCCCCGCTACTAGCACACTGTTTCGGCCTGATTCTGGCCGGAACGCACTGTGGCCGGCTCACTATTTCATGGGGCTGGAGGGGTGTGGCGGGCCGTTGAAGTGAATGGCACTGTAGCCACGCCCTCCGGCCGCAATGCAATTGCCCGCACGGGATTGCAAGGCACATTGTGCCTGCGGTACGGTCAGGTGCGATCAAAATAGTGATTGCAGCATTTTGATCGCACCACACCGGACCGTAGAAATTAATGGGATTCCTTGTCTTGAGCGTTTTGTTGCACTAGGCTTTGAACAGCAAATCGCCTAGGTGTAATTGGGGACTAACGGAAGAAATTGAAGAGAGAAGCTGATTGGTTGCCATGGACAACTGCTCCACATGCTCTCTGCTTCAGTTTTGATAAATTGCCCCCAGGGCATGTTTACGCGCCTATGTGCATGGCTCCATTAAAAACAATACACCTGTATTCAGATCCATAAACAAAAAACACTTTGCATTGCGTTTTTTTTACGGCCATGTGCATGAGGCCAAATGGAAATGATGACAAAAAAAAGGCACAAACAAAACAAAAATCTAATATCAATGAATGTCTATGCGCTGAAATGCATAAACATGCACAAAAGCGTATATCAATGCACGCCTGTGTATAGTTTTTATGCACGTTATGGAGTGAACTATTACAATGGTGGTTTGTTCTGATCGCCTGATATTCAGCGGCAGAGTTTTGAAAGAGTTTGAATAAAGGAATGCCTTTTACTATTGCTGCTTTCTCCTTCCAGCCTGTAGGTGGGTGTGTTTCACAGGGAGAAGCAGTGGGAATGAATCTGTCAGCCAGTCATACAGCTAATTAGCTCAGCCTACAACAAAGATAAGCAAGTTGGGGAGGAGGACCCCCGAGGGTCTTTAGATTCTGGCCTATGTCTGATTGGCAGATGTTAAAAGGGATTTCTCCGTAATCCAAAGCATCAATGAAGTGCACACATTCAGCGGATGGATGGGATAAAGCAGGCATGAGGACAGTGTGTGCATGCAGCTTCAAGGCTACACATTCAGCATGGACAGGACTCTGGACTCCCTTCAACTTCTAGTCACCCAAGTACTGCCACAGAGTGACCCCAGCCTGGTCTTCAGGGACTGTAAGTATGACAATGTGTCAGATTCTTCCACTCATCTATACTGTGTGTAGTTGAATGAATGTTTCTAATCTCAGCAAACAGTGTGAAGGGATAGAAGTCAGATGTACATTGAAAGCATCTTTTTACATTACAGTGTTTTGTTAATAATTTTGCTATTGAAGGACAGCCGCTATTATTGTAGTTTGTTATGGTTTGTGATGTTTGTTGTTTATGGGCAATGCATATATAGTGAGGGCTCTTTGGTTGCCTCTGTGTGATGACAGTTTTGCTTAGCCATCCACTTTACAGTAGTCAAATCCAGTCAATCCTGCATAACTTCTGCTCGGCACTATTCTAAAATCCCTTTGAAGCTGATAGCCAATTCTTCCATTTTCCTTTTCTGTGATGAAAAGAGAATGTAGTTTTTACAACACAAGTGCTGCATCCATCCATCCATCAGCCAGATTGGAAACAAGACCATTGACGTTATTTGTAAGGCACTTGGGGATGACCAGACCAACAACAAAAAATTATACAATTTCCCGCAGTGACCTCTGTGGAGAATAATGCAATGTAACGTGTGTTGATATCACTATCCCAAACTGAATGCTATAAAGAAAAAGAGGAAAAAGGTATAAGGGATAGGTATCCCAAAAATACTTTTTATTTGATGCACAATACACATATTCTTAAATGCAAATGAGGATGGCCAGGTGTCTTTCCAGTCATCATTCTTGGTGAGATATCTGCCTGTCTATGGCCATCCTAGGACTTAAGCATGCTGCAGCTTGCCACCTGTTGTGGAACTAAAACCCTCAGCATTTCTTTACAGGCAGACCATGCAGTATTACTGGATCCAGAGTAAATTGTCGTAACCCTTAAATATAAAAATGAGTGTGCTATGCCCCGTTTGCTTCATGATTGCACATTTTGAAGGCTAGTCATGCATACTAGAACTTGGCTTTGTGTTTGACTACAGGATACAACAATGACAGACATCCTGCGGTTCTCGTGCTAGCAGGACATGCTGCGTATTTTATTGCCACATTAGCTAGCAGCTGGCAAGCCACAGGTTGCCCCAGATTGTAAGGATGTATAGAATCACAGGAGTGACTTAAGTATGACGCTATCATATCAAAATCTGTATTATAGTCATTGCTCTACTGTAGCTAATGTAGCTATGTTTGAAGTAATTTCCAGCTCAAGACATAGAAATCAGTAGCTGTTATTCACAGATTTTCAAGTACAGTGCATGAAAACGACTTCTTTAGCATCCCGAATAAAGAACATTTACAATAGAAGTCCCATCGGTGGCACACCATAAGCTTATTTAACAAAGTATAGGAAACATCAGTGCTAATGCGCAAGGTGCAATCACATACAGGGCAAGCTGATTGCAGTTTTCTGTAGTTAAGCCCCCTTCACACTTGAGCGTAAGCGCTTTCACTGGATTTGAAGCATTCTTTGCACATTTGCACATTTTCAGGCTTAAGAGTTTTTGTTTTAGCCAATGGAAAGCTAGTTTCTAGAAGAAGGCAATGGTTGTTGGGCATAATATTACCTGAAAAAACACAATTTACGCACATTTTTCAGGTGTTTTTCAGACGCTCCCATAGAAGTCTATGGAGACAAAAAAAAGTGCAATTCTTCCCCCCCCAAAAAACTTTTAAAAACTGCAAAGAGACACAATGCTCAGGTGTGAGCCAGCACCATTGAATATAATGGGATCCTTCATGTTGAATGCTGTAACACTTTGGAAAATGCGTGACAAAGTGATGGGGTAAAGCAATAGAACATAATTTCTGATTGATTATTGTTTGCAGCAACCTGTACATCACTATTCTCCTATCGTATTAGATAGATAGATTATACAAATATTATATTAATACAATTATTATAATAATTATTATTGCATAGATAGATTATATTAGTATTATATTAATACAATTATTATCAGATAGATAGATATTAATACATTTTTATTATTATTATATATTATTATATTACTGTATTATTTTTTTCACATGGTTCCAATGATCTATAGTTTATTTCCCTTTCTGTAATTGTTTAACATATATTTGTCTTGAGAAAACAGCTCACAGCTTCATTAGAGAATGTTTAGAAAGTAAACATTATATTATTGCACCTATTAAACAGTAATATCCTATAGCCCCCCAGGCTGAGAGTGGGAGATGTTTCTCTTGTTCAGCAAAATGTGAGTTCCTCTTAATGAAACCAATCTATTCCTTGTAAGACTCCCCCAGTCTACAGTATGTGTGTAACTGCATACAGGAGGTCCAGAATGAAATCCTGGAGGATTACTTTATCATATAGATGTATATGGATCATAGCAGCAATATTCCCAGTTGTAATTCATGAAATAACTAATGTAGAGGTATTGAGGCTGATGTGAAGAAAAGGAGCAAAGTAGAAAAAGAGCTGTTGCCCTCAGCAACAACATGATGTTTTCTTTTGTTGCTTGTCCCTCATTGTGAAAGTAAATAATGTCATAAGATAGCTGTGGGCAAAGCTCCAAATTATCTTCAGTTTGAATATGAAATTGTTACTTCTAGCAGCAAATCACATATGAAAACGGAGGGATAATATCTACCCGTTTGCAAGGTGCAGCCACCCCACTTTTGCTCTAGGTACACCAGAGTTTGTGTGCTGGTAGATAACAAGCCTGGTGACAGCAAGGCTGATTTAGGAAAACTGGGGCATGGAACATAGAACTGTTCTCAATGGCAACAGGCTGTCAATTTGCTAGGGTTGACTTATGAAAACTGGACTAAAGGAAGTAGAGTGAATGTGAAACTGTTGCCTATAGCAATCAATCATATATAAAGCATAAAGTAAAGTAGCCGCCAGAGTTCTAAGTGTAACCATGCCACTTTAGCTATAGTTTATGTACACTAGCCCTAGTTTGCTGTAGGCAACCAAGCTTGGTGACAGTCATTGCAAACAACACCATTTCAGTATATTTGAGAATATTTTTCTCAAAATTGGTAAATTTTAATGGCTATCTAAAGCACAGAAATATGTATGTGTTTTCCCTGGCAACCAGATTCTTATATACTGGATTTCATTTATGAAAAATTGGACCAAAGGAACTAAGTGAATGTGAAACTTGCCTATAGCACCAAATCCTATATTAAAAATGAGAGATTGTAGCCACCTAAATTTGCAATGAACAGCCTTGCCACCTTGGCTATTACATATTTAGTGTGCTATAAGAGACTGAGCCTGGTGACAATAAGGCTGATTTATTAAAACTGGAACAAAGAGACAGGGAAGTGTTTACCATGACAGCCAGAGGATGATTTGCTGAGGTCGATTTATGAAAACTTCTTCACCAGTGTAAGATTAAACTTAATTGGTTGCTGTGAGCAACAGCTTGTCAGGGTACCGTGTACAGGCGTCCTCACACCTCATGCAGGTACCCACGCAGGATGACCAAATTAATATGCCCACACAGGATAGGGTTCTATGCACAGTTTATTTGTTACCATCAAACAAAACTACTAACCCCCTCAACCCCCCACAGGTTTAGCAGTGAAGTAACAAGGAGGGTTAACAGGAGGGCAGCACAGTACAGGATTTAGGAAGAATGGTCAGGTACAAGCCAGGTCGTTAACAGGAGGGCAGCACGGTACAGAAACAGGATCCAAGAAGAGTGGTCGGGTAACAAGCCGGGTCGGTGACAGGTCTGCAGATAGGTAGCTGGGTTCAGGTAGCTGGGTTCAGGTAGCTGGGTTCAGGTAGCTGGGTTCAGGTAGCTGGGTTCAGGTAGCTGGGTTCAGGTAGCTGGGTTCAGGTAGCAGTCAAGTGCAGGCGACACAATACTGAGCCAGCTTCCTGACTGCAGGGAGGGCCTAGATACCCTCCCAGGAAGCACCAGGTGATGGGATGATCACTCACAGCTGGGGCACACCCGCAGGTGAGTACTGGAGCTGCAGGTTCCTTACAGTCCCTGGCTGCTGGATACACCCGCAGGCGAGCACAGGAACTGCAGGACCTGGCTCCAGCGCCACCTGGGGGTGCTCTGGATCCTGACACAGCTCCATTTGTGCTCCAGATGTTTTAGCTTTTATTCCTTTGAGGCTTTACACCGCCAGGCTGTACACCAGCATTTTTCAACCAGGGCTCCTTGATACCCTGTAGTTCCTCCAAAGGTTGCTAGGGGTTCCTTGAGCTGTGAATAGTTCTGGAACATCACTTGGCAGAGCCAGCAGCATAGTACCAATGAAGCCTGTCCTCTTATCTCTTATTCAATTCACACTGTGTGTGTTTCCAAACTGATCATTAGTATGATTGGTTTTATTTAGTTCTGTGAATAAGTTTCTCTTATAGAGCAGAGGGGATGTCAAAAACAACCTGCCTTGGGTGTCAAATACCCTAGGAACACCACATTCTTTTAATTGTATATCTATAACTCACAATAATGTAACATGACTTGTAGATAGGGATGCACAGATACTTTTCGAGTACCTATACTTGGCATTTTCACGAGAACTACCAGGGTTGCAGCTGGGACCTGGCTCTGGTGCTCCACCACTGTCCTGATATCATTAGTCGCTATTTTTTTAGAAAAACTGTCACATGACAATAAACAAAAATGTATCAGTACTCGTACTTGTAAGTACTTGGGCAAGTATCAGTACTTGTACTCGCAAAACTGGTATCTGTGCATCCCTTTATTTATAAAAACAAAATCACACAATAAAACAGATGTACAAATCCCAGGAGCTCTGTATGCTCCTTACAAATGACAGCTGACTCCTAACTTCTGAATTTTTCTCTAGTCTAGTCTTGGAGCTCGAAAAGTATCAGTACATGTACTTGTACCAAGTGCATCCCTACTTGTAGATATAATAATATTTAGGAGGGTTTCAAAATTGTTTCAGGGGCACCTCTGGGGTCTAAATGTTGAGAAAGACAACCATACACTTTTATTTCTGTTTTTAGCCCTAGAGCATCTTCTGCTTTTATTTGGACAGATGAATAAAATGAAATTTACTATA